CCAGAATTTAGCAACATCTGCTGGTGACGCACACGCTTTGAATTACGATCGAGCATTTAGGCAATTAAGAGCCCGTCACCCTGCAAGAGTTCCTTGGGACCGTCTTCATCCGGAATTGTATAGCGATGCTGTTACACGGGGTGTGGTTTCTAAACAGCAGCAGGGGTCCGGTGCCAACAATTCTTTTCGTGCCCAAAGCAAATCTCAAGTATTCAGATTCTGTTATGCATACAACAGCAAGCTGGGTTGCAACAAGGGTTCGACCTGTTTGTACGCTCATAAATGTCAAAGATGCCGGGGAGCACATGCCCGGATATCGTGTTCCAACCTGCCCAAAACCTTTAGGTATAAAACTCAAGGAGGACAAAAACCTCAGAAACGTGGTCCTTCATCCAGTAAATAAAACCCTCAACCAATTATCTTGCGACCAAATTCTAGCCAAGTATAGTTTAACGAACACAATAGATAAATTGCCTACTCCTATTAACCCAATGCGTTTGGCTTTTTGGCTTCAAGGTTTCGATCTAGATATTACAAAATTTTTGTTAGCCGGTTTTACTTTTGGTTTCTGCATACCTTTCGAAGGTACTCAACAATTTCGTAGTTGTAACAGTTTGATCTCTGCACAGCAACATCCCACAATCTTGCGAGAAAAAATTGACAAAGTACTTCAGGCAGGCAGGGTGGCTGGTCCTTTTGACGTCCCACCTTTTGAGAACTTTCAGGTGTCCCCTTTAGGAGTAGTGCCAAAAAAGGCTCCGGGCGAGTTTCGGTTAATCCAACATTTGAGTTTTCCCGATGGGTCAGCTATAAACGATGGTATCCCCGAAGAACTGTCTACTGTCCAATATCAAACAGTTGCGGAGGCAGTCCACATGGTTCAGACATTAGGTCCTGGGTGTTTTTTGTGTAAATGTGACATGGAAAATGCCTACCGGCAACTCCCCATTCATTTAAACAGTCAGCACCTTTTAGGTTTTAAAGTAGATGGGAAGTATTACTATGATCGTTCGTTGCCCATGGGTTTGAGTTTTTCGGCTCGATTATTTGAAATTTTTAGTTCTTCAATACACTGGATCATGGAAAACAAGTTTGAGGGCACTCGATGCATTCATGTGCTGGATGATTTTTTATTTGCAGCCAAAACTCAGCAGTCATGCCACACAGTATTATCAAATTTTGAACAATTATCTCAGGACATAGGCATTCCGTTGAAACAAGAAAAAACAGTTCCACCTTGCAATATATTAAGTTTTTTGGGACTCGAATTTGACACAATAGCTATGCAGCTTCGCTTACCAGAGCATAAGTTGATAAAACTTCAAAATTTAATAACTGACATGAAATCCAGGCGCAAAACAACTTTATTACAACTTCAATCACTTTTAGGACTTTTGAATTTTGCCTTGCGGTGGTAATTCCGGGTCGACCTTTCATGAGATGAATTATTGATTTAACTCATCATCATAGGAAGTTAAATTCGGCCGCCAGGGCCGATTTGGACGCTTGGAGTATTTTCATAAACCATTTTAATGGAAGGGCGTTGATAATCCCCCAATTTTCGCGGTCCTCCAGGTCTTTGAACATGTTTTCAGATGCAAGCAATGTGGGTTTTGCTGCTGTATTAAAAAATCATTGGTTTTCACTTCCAGCTTCTAATAACTGGTTGGAATACTCGATTACGTACAGAGAGTTGTTGCCTATAGTAATCGCAGTCCAACTTTGGTCGTCAATTTTGCAAAACTCCAGAATTTGTTTTCATTGTGATAATTTAGCAGTGGTGCATTTGCTTAATAAGCAGACATCTAGAGAACCTAATATCATGAGACTTATTCGTTTGTTTGTTGTGAAAATTATGGAATTTAATATTTTGTTTACTGCCCGCCATGTTCCTGGAGTGTCTAATATTCAATCAGATTTACTATCTCGATTACAGGTGAACGAATTTCAACACAGCTTCCCACACATGGATCCCTCGCCTACAGTAGTTCCACAGTATCTATTACAGATCTGAACACTGTTGCAGGAAATTTAGTGACAGATTCGTTAACCCCTGGGTCAAGACGGTCTTATCGTTTAGCTTTCCGTCACTATAACAAATTTTGCAATCAGTTTTACCCTTCACAGGCAGTTTTTCCAATATCAATAACTATGTTGTGTAATTTCCTAGCATATTGTTTCTCTAATCATTTGGCGGCAAGCACAGTCAATTCTTACGTCTCCGCCTTAAATTTTATTCAAAAATTAACTGGGGGTCCAGATGTTTCCCAGAATTTCGTTTTGCGTAGATTAATAAGGGGTTATCAGAATAGAGCGGTATCCTATGACCAGCGTTTGCCTATTACACAACCCATTCTAGCTCAGTTGGTAACGGTTTTGGGTGGTCTAGGTTTGTCATTTTTCCTGAAAAAATTATTTACAGCTATGTTTCTTCTGGCATTTGCAGCATTTTTGCGGATTGGGGAAATGACAGACTCCCCGAACAACCTGCAAACGCAAAATATTGTCTTTCAAAAAGCCACTGATACTGGTGTAATTTCATCTTTAGAAATTCATATGCAAAATTTTAAACACAAGAGGGGTAACAACTATCCAATTCTTTTCATCGAACGCAATTCTGACAATCCTAAACTATGCCCAGTGCAAGCGCTTTTAGACTACCTTGCTGTCCGCCGCCAATCAAGTTTGTGGTTGTTTACATTCATAAATTCGACGCCAATTTCACGTCATTTTTTTATGCGCCACCTCAATTTAGCTGTTCAAGCATGTGGTCTAAATTGCGCACGTTATAAACCTCATAGTTTCCGCATAGGTGCTGCTACGACAGCAGCTGCTAAAGGGATCCCCTTTTCCCAAATACGTCTTCTAGGTCGATGGCAGTCAGAAGCTTTCCAAAAATATATTAGGATTCCAGTGCTTAAACTCTAGATCACTCCTGTTGTCCCACTATGCCATTTCAATGTCAACCGGTGACAGATTTTTGTACAATTTTTACTGAGAACATTGGGTTATCAGTATTTTAGTCACCGGTTGGTTTTCGGAGAATTGCTCAATTAACAAAACTCGTGAAAGTTGTTTGTCTTTTTCTGGGAATATTTAAGTTTACAATTATTGTGTTTAATTTGTTTTCGTACAGGTCTTTACTGAGAACATTGGGTTACCAGCGTGTTTCCAAAAACACGTGTTAATGTTAATGTTGATGGTGTTTGTTTTAGGTTTAATTAATAATATACAGGTCATGGGATGGGGGGAAATTGTTGTTTGAAATCAGCAATTTTTGTGGCCGTAGTAGATACCCCATTTTTTGCACAAGGGGACACTTAATGCATGTTTAAATTGTATTTGTGCTATATTGAACCATTTTGATATTAATATATTTTATGTTTTAGTATGTTTCATTTCCATGTTGGAAAAATTGTGTTATTTATTTTGCCCAGTATTTGTTATTAGTCAATGATATGAGGCAAATAAATGACCATTTCAATTCAAACAAATGCTTTTTCGTATGTACAAAACATAGCCATTCCAGGGCACGGGGGATACAAAAGCCGTTTGGTTATTAAAAAATTAAAACGTCACGTCATGATCCAAATGTATAAATAAGGAATTACCCAACCATATATTTATCGTTGATGTTATACAATTTCACACACTGTCTTCTTTATGTTATATTATTGGCAACAAAGTTACTCAAATATCTATTTACACATGTGAAGGTGTTAAGGGGCATAAAAGATCCGACTATTAATTGTATTCGTGCAAACCAGTGAAGATATAAATAGAAGATGTTAATACAACATTCTTAATGCTAGGTTCCCACTCTAACGATTCGCGCCAGGAAAATGGGTTTGCGTCCGTCAAATTTTCCAAAATAACTTTTGGGTGGGGAGGGGTCCAACAGACGACAGTATTACAGTATTGTTTCTTTGAATCCGGTTCTTGACGACAACACTGGTTTAACTTCATATGATACTTTTATTGTTCTTCAAACATATCAAGTACAAAACTTCTTATAGTTAAAGGACCAATCCCGATAATATTTTGTAGAATAAAACTGCTTAATAATCCCTTAAAATCCTCTACCTCAGGGCCGAGCAACCAACTCAATATATGTGATACGTTTCCAAACAACCCGTCCGTCTTCATCTGGAAATGGAGACCGGTGTCCTACGCTGTGTGGATAAAACCAGACTTTTATAGAACAATATGTAGGTGAAATTTATCTTTCGTTATGAAGTACAGCACATGGGTCATTCGCTGTATAGATCTCTAAATGAACGAGAATCGATTATCAGGTCACCCAACCGAAAAATTGACCGGAAATCTTAAAAGGGTTATGTGTCCGGATAAGCAGATTTGACGTTCACGTGCTAACCACTCAGTATTTTGAGCGCAAATGTTTCAATCAAGTTCATTTATGGAAGGTGTTACTTGACATTTTCCTGAAAAAAATCTCCAATTGTGTAACTCCGGCCTGCTATTATAACTAATAACTTCCACATGGCCGTTGACCGTGTCAATCCAGTACCAATGTCGACCATCTGTGGGTCATAATATGATAAGGATACGTTAGTCAGTTTCATGTATGGAACGTGTTAATTAACATTTTCCTAAATGACCTCCAATTATGTGTAATAACAGACACTGTCGTCTGTAACCCGAAATCAAGCCCGTACGCCTATGCTGATATGACTACGACTAGTAGATTTACCTCATCTATGGAATAGAATGGAATCGGAATTAATGCAGTGGATCAATACTTCATCCACGAAGAATGGGGGATGCCGAAGATGAGGGGGATGCGCTTTGTGCTGCTGGTTTATCTCACTTCCCAAAGGAGGGTCGCCCAGGTGCGTTCTAGGCTAGACACAACCATGTATAATGGCTCTAAACTCTGACCTGTACAGTGATCACAAGTAGTGGATCAACGAACGGACCGTTGCAACGACAATACGCAGCCACATTAACATACAGGAGAAAAAAGACAACATAAATTAAGATACTTGTTTTTATTAGCACTTATCAAAAGAAACGATAATTGAAATAGGTGTAATGATTTGTCTCAATGGCGGGAACCCTGCTACTGTATACAGAATATTCTATAAAATTATAGATTGATAAATAAGTTTAGCTCAGATTTGTTCGTCTATTCACTGAAATTAGTAATCAGGGCGTCAATTTACAATATTGACAAAAAAAAACCTTCGTCCACAATTTAACCTATTTATCATTCAAAAGTATTCATATACCAATCTAAACAGTATTAATTAGAATATAATTACGTTTACAATATTTTTAATACAGACAAACAATACAATATTGTTCCAGATTGCAATGTAAGCTGCTCAAAATAATTAATTATATAAGTTAATTCTAAACTAGGCCAGTGCTCGCTCACTCATTTATCGTATTGCAAATGTTCCCCAAAATAGAGTGGCTTTGATCTCTTTAGAAAATTAAATAAAATGCGGTTAAACTGGGCGAAATGGTAATCGGTTGAAAATGTAAACCTTGATATAGATTTTTGATATTATAACAATCGATACATTTCAAACTGATTAGTAGGTAGACAGATTCTAATTGTTTGAAACTTCATTGGGTCTTATAAGTCAACGTACACATTTATAAAAGTATTGAACAATAGATGGAAATAAGAGTAGATAAAAACATCAAAGACATTCAAAAGTGTTAACCTGAGTGTCAATGTCTTTTACAACGATGGATTTCACTTGTCAAACTGAATATAAAACTGTTATCTATACGAGACTTAAGTGGTGCTGAGTCTTCTGAAAAGAACAAGCACACACTGTCTTACATACGACACCCATTAAGGCTCAGGGCAAAAACAACATTAAGAAATTAAAAATACATAGCAACACAAATACAGTCTAGTTCACAATTTCCGGGCAATTCTTATTTGTCTATCGTTTCTCGATAAACTTAAACAACTGTTAAAAGTCATTCGACAAAATGATTTTACACTCTAATGTGCTGTTCTTTAGGTCAATAAACCACAAAACATATTTGGCTATTGTTTCCTTTTCTACAGAGATTTTCTGGATTGATATTTGGATATTTCAAGCTATTTGTGCGTTTCGGGTCGATATTATAAGATTTGCTCCTCATCTGGGATTTAGAACTACACTATAGAGAATAAATTGATAGTATTAAGGGAAAATATACATTTTTTCTCTCTGTTAGCAAAGCTCATGGCGCCCATACTAATGGAATTATTTTATTAACGAATAAGCTAGTTATAGTATTATGCTGTCTATAGCTTATTGTAGACATTACTTCAGCGATGGTTGTTTATGGTATGGGGAAATGAATATGGGCAAGATAAATATGATGACAATGGTTTATATAAAGCTACGCGTATATTAATTTATCATACATGTATTCTTATTTCTGATTGGATGCTACTAATTCTTCTCGGTTGAGATAACCATCCCCTGCAATGGAAAAAAATATGTTTATGATCCGGCATTCATTTACATTCCTAACGCAATGTTTATGCAAACTATATTATATGAAATATTCGGCAAAGTTGCTTTAGAAATATATTTTATATGGGCAGTGTAAGAAAACAACAACTTTGTTAAAATACTTGGTGCCATTGCTTTAGAAATATGTTTTACATAGACAATATACGAAATAAATATAACAAATAAAGGTCAATCTATACAAAAAGTCAACACAATGAAATAAATATGTATTCACACACGATATTGTTTTTTTTATACATATTTTATCAAATGATTGGTCGTTAATATATTTCAAGGGCTATAGTAGTTCTCTTGACCTCTGTGTTAAATCAATAACATTCCTTGACCTGTACATTTCGATGATCTTAATTTTTATAATGAGCCCAGGATGTTACAATCATCTCCTAAAAATATTGAATGGGCTTGACTGTTTCCTTTTGATCTCAAGCTCTAGGATTTGGCGCATCAAAATCGTAAATATTCACCAAACATCTAGCTGAGAAAAAACCGTGATTTTATTCTTCACCAAAAACTATTGCCGTTTTGACCGAGAAAGTTCCACGGGATTTTCATGTGTGCTTTCCCTTGTCAGTGGTGGAGGACGTAGGGCCTGACATTAAACAGCGTCTAGTCGTTCGGATGGGACGGAAACCGAGGGTCCGTGTGTCAGTTGGCGTGCATGTAAAAGAACCATTAACAGTTGGAATTCTAGATAAGAGTAGGTCGTAGCGCCGCTGCCCCGGCAAAATTCCTGTCATAGCACATTGTGTGGTGTACGCCCGTCTTCATTTGTCCAGTCGGTGCAGAAATGTAGGATGATAAACCTCGATACTTACCATCTAAGTCAAAATTATCCTGAATAAATATTGCTGCTTTAGAAAGGTCATAACACAAAAACTTAGCTGCATCCTCTACACTTATCTTTTCACTACAAAAATATAATTTAATCTTATTCAAAATGTCTTTAATTTTGTTTCAATTGCAAAGATAAAAAGTACTGCTTACTGTTTGTTGGATATATTAGTATCATTTTCTCGCTAATTTGGGTGCCTCTCCTTTTGAATCCCGTCTCGTGTCGAAAAGATCCTTTAGATTATTTCATATTGGGTTCCCACTTGTAAGGGTGACAGTGGCACCTGTGCGCTGACAAGGAAAGTACGTCTAAACGGAGCAAAACAGTAGGACGTTAAACCCCATTTCATTTCCTTTGCGCGAACAAGGAAAATATGCCTAGTCGTTTGGATGGAATAGAAAACAGTGGTCCACGTGTGCACGTAAAATTGACATTCGAAGGAGAGTTAATTGGAAAAGCCCCTGTCAGGACACAACTCGCACAGCACACGTAACCATGGCAATGATAAAACCTTATGATAATCTCAAAAATGGCCGATATACTGTATTGGCGAAACGCTATCTATATTCCATTTCATTGTCGTTAACTTACCCCCGGAACTGCGACTTGTATCTGATTTACGTGTTAAATCTTGAAATCCTATTGGCTAGAAGTGAAGTCGATGAAGTGGTAGCTAATCAGGGTAGTCATACGTTGCTATACATGTGTGTTTAAAATTGCAATCCATCATCTCGCTATAAGCCCTGGTTATTAATATTAAATATTGACCGTACGAGGTCTGAGTCTGAACCCCTTTTATAATTAGTGACCAATCAAATTAGAAACCACCGGGGAATTCCGAATGACATTGTTAAACAGTGTCCAGTGTCTAGCGCTAAAAGATAATTCCCATTGCAGATTTTGTCATAGGTCAATGATGAAAATAGGGTTAGGGTTATGATAAGAAGTATGGCGGACTAAGGCTAGGGCTAACTCTAACCCACAATCGCGTCAACAGTCACGTACCCTAGCCGTTAATTACATCTCGTGACCTATGACAAAATCCGCAATGGGCCTTAGCTTTTATCCTTTACCGTGTCCACTTACTCTTTAGACAATATCAACGTATCATCAAATGAACCGAAAGAACGGTCAACATGAACATTTGAAAATTTCATAATAAAAATAGACAAGCTACCTTTGGCCTAAATCAAGATACGTTTCCTTCTCTGCCCCATGGTTGACAGATATGATTTGTGGCCTCGTTCTCTTCCATGGCATCCGTCTAATTGTTGAGCCGGAGAATCCCGACATAACGATAACGATATGTAAAACTAATAATAAGAATAATTCCTTCTTCATTGAAACCTGAAGTAACAATCTCTGAAAATAAAATATAAAGTGCTTAGAAGATCCTGAAAATTGAAAAAAAAAACAGTCATTAATTCAATAATTTGATATCCAATCTGGGTTTATTTCCATGGACAAGGCTATAGCCCGGGAGTCCAAAAGGTTTGAGGTCTACAACACATATTTTACCCTTAGATCATTTTGTAAAGCTAAGTCTTAAGTTTTATAACCTGTGCATATTCCTGGGAGCGCTCCCCCTAACTCTCCCATATTTAGTGGCAGCTAAAATTCAATGTCCACCTACAATTTTCTTGCAAATGTTTCATACTTAACACTAAGAAACAGAATGCATGACTTCAAGAGCATACAATGTTGTGCTAATGCTAATTAAGAGCTTAATTAATTAGCACTAATTAGTGATCGTAATTAACTGAAAGCCTAAAAGCTAGCTAACCAAGTAATGAAACCAAAAATATCACCTAAGAGAGCGACAAAAGTTGAACAAACCTTGCTTAAGACTCGGTCAAAGGTGTCAAAGGTCACTAATGAATGACCATAATTAAAATTTAAAGTCCATAATTGAAACAAAGCCTAAAAGCTAGCTAACCAAGTCATGAAACCAAAAATATCACTTAAGAGCGACAAAAGTTGAACAAACCTTGCTTAAGAGTGGTTCAAAGGTAATAAGGGGTCAAAGGTCAAATTTTGGGTCATATAATGACGTTTGAGTGGATTTGATTAAATTGATTATTTTTCTTTCTAACACCATTTCTATGAGTTTCAGTGCATAAAATGACTACTTAAGAGCATAAAATGTTGTACTTATGCCAATTAAGAGCTTATTAATTAGCAATAATTTGTGATCATATTTAAAACTTAAAGAGTCCATAATTGAAGCAAAGTCTAAAGTTGAACAAACTTGGCTTAAGACTGGTGACAAAAGTCATATTTTGGGCCACATTATGACCAATCAACCAATCAAATTGCTTATCTCTGCTGACCGTAAAATAAAATGCGCATCTTCGAACTCCATCAAGCCATTCACATAATCAACACTACACCAAGTTTAAATATTCTTCCTCAATTAGAAGAAGAATTATTGTGTCCCAAATGGCTTAATGAACAGACAGACGAATAGGCCCATTTCAATAGTCCTCTGCTTTTTTCGAAAGGCGGGTGACAATAATGTTGATGTCAGCAATAATTATGCACTTGAAAGTATGGCAAAGTTATCAGTACAACACGGAATTTTAAAATTGAAGGAGGCTGAACTTCCTTTTAGGCATTATTTGATTTAAAGAAGTAATTCCAGATAAAGACAAAATTGGGTCGGAAAGCACATATGATTAATGTAATACGAGTATAAAGTAATATGCCCAAGTTTGAATTTGTTTTATTGTATATTATAATCAATTATTAAGCGTCATTGTGAAAAATTAGATAAAGAGCTGACACTTCAGCGCTATAAAAATAGCTAATGTAAAGAGAATAATCTGAAAATTTCAGTACAGTTGCTTAACTCTGAGCCCAAAAAAACTCATTTCAATAGCACAGTAGCCGCAGTTGTAATTGTTAATGTTGTAACGATAATAGACAAGTCTCGCTTATCGATTTTTACGGTTAATCACCAAGCATTGTTGAACAGAAATCAGATTTAAATTTTTGTCAAGTCAGACCCGTCAGATGTCATCGAGTGTTGATTATGGTCTTGTCATGTTAATAAATGTCTAATTAATAGATTATATAACATATAACTAATGAAATACCTGCAACTGACAGATTTAGCTCCTGCATAATGTTGTTTATTATGTTTGGTGAAATACGCCAATAATCCAAATCAATCCGATTAAAATACGTAGATCTATATTTCGTTTCGTTTTTTATTCTTTAGATGGCTACACTACATGGAGATCTAACCGGTTGTTGCGATAGGTCAAGTCAGAGGTCATACGAGTGCAAGTGAGCCTATGGCGTCAGACATTTGATTAACCAATCAGCATTAGTGTTACTAGTGGGTTACCCACAGTTTCGTGCAAAACACGCCTAATGCTCGCCGTAACCGGCCGTTTCATTGGCTAATACCTCACACTATTCAGAACACGTCAATGATAACAACTCTTCCAGATCCTAGCGTAGTAAAGACAAGTAAAACGAAATTTTGAACTATAAAAACGAAACGAAATAGGATCTGTGTTTTAATCAGATTGAATCCAAATTGAATGGCAGTCATTAGCGCCTGCGATAAAGAGAATCTCCTACGAGTCTTTTTTGATATCAAAAAAAGACGAATAGGAGATTTTACTTTTCTACAAAGTTTGTTTTGTTCTGTTTGTGACAGTTGTGGGGTGTGTGAAATAGCCATTTTAAATTACTTCCGCATTGTCGATAATGTCTCAGATGTGTGCTTGTTAAAATTAAAGTATTTTTTTATTGTGGACTTATCAATTAGTTTGCAAACAGGTTTTCTTATCAACACCCCTGTATTTATGGGAAAACAATCAAAGGTTACTATAGCCTGCATCAAGCTTGACAGTACCAGATCCATATCTACAATCGTTAATAACAATATAATATTGTTACGAACAGATAGATAGCACACAGTTAATGAGGAGACAGAAATGTATGGAACACAATGATGACAATACAAATAAAGAGCCCCGGGGAAGAACGATCTAAGTTACTTTTTCAACGAACCCCAGTTAATGGTGCCATCTGGTAGCAAATTGTATAAACTTTCTGAGGAACAATCAATTTCAGGTAAAAACGATCGGCGTCACATCAAACCGGGGCCCTTCTGAAATGGTCTCCCGGACAAATACGTCTATCGTACCCTTTATTTTACCTTAATTTGGCTGAAAAGTGGAAGTCAGTTGCCGTACTGGTAATTATGATTCGTATTAAACATCATTTTGAAGTTGTAATTAAACCCAAGCGTTGTTCTGTTCGCGTCAAGCATTCTCGTCCAAAAGACTGTTTTGCCTTTTATGCGAAAAGACAAAAATGTGACTTAGACCGTTCTTCCCCTGGACTCTTCAGATATTATATCAAAAAAATCCACTTCACATATATATATATAAATAAAAGTAGCATTGGTGGATTTTGTGATTAATCACATAGACAGCTCTGAACTACTTTTGATATCTAGAAAGGTTGTTTGCAAGGATTCATCCTGGGGTTGAAATCGCCCAAATCAGCATCACATTCCAAAATCTGTGCTTCACTCCACAGTAAATCTAATTTACAATTGGAAATAATCCATAATAGAATGAAAATTAGCCAACAAGAGTATCGCAAGTCTGTATGAATGTATTACTTTTGTGTACATGTATGTGTTTTCTATGTTATATGTATTATTAAATGTATACGACTATGTCTAAATATATATGTATTCATATATGGACGTTTTGATGCAATTAACATCTTATCTTATCTTATCTAGCACAACCATCTTGTAAGTGTAAGCCAGTCTGGATAGCACTATACCGAAAATAAGCTTCCGATTTCGACCTTTTTTTCACCAAAGTGGCATTAGTCTTAATTCCCTTAAATATCCATGCAAAGGAGAACACATAAATGTTTCGAATCACATATGGACTAATTTAGTATTTAATTGTCTGGGTATTTTACGACCAGGGAATTATCCAGTTCTATACTTTCATTCTCAATATTTAGAATCATTGGAAAAAAAGTTAACATTTTTTGCATTTCATTTCCTAGGAATGCGTGATTCGTCGCATAGTTTTTCCACGTCTCTTTAGGGCAAGCAGGGATAAGCAATTTGATTGGTTGATTGGTCATAATGTGACCCAAAATATGACCTTTGTCACCAGTCTTAAGCCAAGTTTGTTCAACTTTTGTCGCTCCTAAGTGATAATTTTGGCTCCCTGACTTGGTTAGCTAGCTTTTAGGCTTTGTTTTAGCTATGGACTCTAAATTAGTGCTAATTAATTAGCTCTTAAGTACATTTTATGCTCTTAAGCAGTCATTTTGTGCACGCACTGTAACTCATAGAAATGGCGTTAGAAAGAAAAATAATCCCTGACAAGACAATGTTTAGTTCTCATTATCTATTTAAAAACTATTATTGCATGAACGGTCATCACCTTAGCTACACCTTACATATTGCATCTTTAAACTAAAACACCTATACACAATGGAAAGAACAATATGATAATCGATTACCAATAACTGACAATGTAGTGGGTAAACCAATGAATGTCCGCTTAACAATTGCAATGGCAAAAAGTTTAAAATAATAAGACTGCAGATGAAAATAAGGACAATTTGTATCATTGTAAAATTTCAAAATTTTGCGCACATGATTAATGCCAAGGTTGCGACGAAATCGATTGTGTATTCATGTGTTGACACTGTGAGCCAAAATGAAACTAACCATCAGTAAACAAATATCAGTTTTATCCTTTTGTGCTTGTCAAATCACTAATGGAAACAGCTCACCAGAACATCCAAATTAAATACTTTTTTCAGGTGTAGCTCATTGAATGGGTTACTGAATTTGACGTTTCACGTGAAACGACTGAAGTACATTGTTTACATGGCGAAATCAACTTTAATGTTAATGTGTATCTGGGCATTTTGTTTCGTCAATGTGTTTACACTTACATGTATATGTAATTCAACGAAGTTTGTACAAGATGCAATAAGCGTAGACATTTCTCTCTCTAAATTTAACGAAGATCCCTTTATTTCATCCTGGTAAATCTCCTGATTCTAAACTATTACGGAAATTAGAACCAAAATCACCTAAAAGCATGATACAATGTAAGAAGGTATAATGAATAAATTATTCTCTGATGTACGTGCTGTGACATATACTGTTGTCATGGTGGTTACATATTTCACATTCATTATTTATTGATACATTCGTTTAAAACACTTCTGAAAATATATTTATATAACTTTTGTAAAAACAACGAACATAGTACGGGGCGGATGAAGATTCTTAAGATTATTTTGATTTTATAACTTCATTTACAGTTTAAAAATCCACCAAAACCCTCAACTCTGTAACA